CTCTTGTAACAGTTTTTCACTTAAAAATCTATTTTGTTTGCTGTTAATATGGTCACTTCAGTTCTCTTTTGATTACTTTTTATGTGTTTTATTCTTTCACTTTTTAATTTTATTCTTTCACTCTCAATATATTTTTTTCTTTTAATCTAAAGTGAGTCTCCTGTAGATAATATATAGTTAGATCATTTTTTACAATCCATTCTTTCAATATCTGTCTTTTGATTGCAGACTTTAACCTATCAACATTAAATGTAAATCACTTTAAAAGTGATTACTGCTAAAGTACTTACTCCTGCCATTTTACTATTTGTTTTCTGTTTGTCTTATATCCTTTTTGTCCTTCATTTTCTTTAGTATGGCCTTCTTTTATATTTACTTGATTTTTTTCATAGTGAAGAATTTTGATTCTCTTCTCATTTTCTTTGCGTGTACTTTCTGACATTTTCTTCGTGCTTAACCTGGGGATTACACTTAACATCCTAAATTTATAACAATCTATTTTGAAATATTACTAACTTACGTTAGTAATATTACTAACTAAGTTCAATAGCATGCAAAACTCTACTCTCATACAGCTCCATCCCCACCTTTTTTATGTTGGTGTTCTCACAAAATACATTTTATATATGGTACAATGCAATTAAATAGAATAGAAGAGCAATACATTAGAATTCAAAGAGCCATAAGTAATTTTCCAGGGACATTCATTTTGCACACTTCCTATTACTGAAAATGTGACCACATGATTTCAGCCCCAGGGGTTTCTTTGTTTTGAACACAATCCTAGAAATTTAATAAGAATAAGAATAATATTAATAATAGCAATAAAAAGCACTGTTTAGGAGGGTCCAAAATGCAAACTGAGATAGGTCACCATGAAGCAGTATAGCAAAGTAATTAGTAAGGTGGACCCAGCACTCAGAATAAATCTAGCTTCATCAATAGCCACATGATTTTTTTAGGCTCATTAACCTATTTATACTTCATTTTTCTTATCCTAAAATAAAGATAATAATACCTGCTTCAAGGGTTGGCAGAATAACTTATATAAGTCATGTAAATTGTCTATAACAGTGCCTGGCACATGGTTAGAACTCAGTCAAACTAATTATTCTTATTATTAACCCCCAAACCTTGTAATAGAATGAATGCATAAAAGCTTTGTTCAGAGAACTTTTGTTTCTAAATTGTTATTTTATATCAAATTTTCACCTTGGAAAAAAATTGGACTTAGAATCTGAATTAATCTACCTCACATACACAAAAGATTGTGAAAAGCAATATTTCTCAAACTAGGTCTTGAGATCACAGGTGTGATTTATAAGAAATGTTGACATTTTGTTCCAAAGATTATTTAAGTGAAAATTCTATTCTGGAGTGGTATCTCACTACTGAAGAACATTTTAATAAAATATGAGTTTTAGTGGTTTTAGTTATTAGTAAAATAAGACTTTAATGTCATAAAAATAAACTAGTGGAGTAATAACTAATTGTGGGAGGTAATAAGATTAAGAACAGAGAGAATTTCACACATAACTGATGTACTCATGCCAAGTGAATATCAATTAATGTATGGCAAGTGCTGGCTTTACTGTAGTTCAATTTTTAAAAAGTTATAAAAGGACTGAATAATATCACAGTACATAGTAATATAGTAATGCCAAACTTAAATGAACCTGAACAGTAGCATTCACTTACATATTCAAATTACACAGTCATCTTTGTATATATAAACCTCAATTATTCATTAATAGTAATAAGTAGCAATTATTAATAAATTTTTGATACATACTATTTTTATACTTTGAGTACTGAATATTAAGATGCTAATAAATTAGTTCATCAAAATAATGTATTGTTAAAAACAATTTTATTATTTGGTTTAAGAAAGTAGCATCATCCATCACATTAAATTAATAGAACTGATTTTATCTAATCTATTTGTAGCTTTATTTGTAATTTGTGATTTTTTTTTCATTTTTGCTGTATTTGTATAAAAGTTTCATAAATAAGGAGTTTATATCTTGTTTATATTTGAATTCATTTAACAACTAAAATAATATAAAATATTTAAATCAACATATGGGAGTAGATAATTTTTTTTTGAAGGTTAATATTTCTCAAGTTTGAAAAACTTTGGGATACCAGTTAAGATCTTGGGTTCTACAGTCAAATAGACTGGAGTTCTAACCACTGTTTTTCACTTCTTAATTATTTTTATAAATAATTTCAACTTTTATTTTAGATTCAGGGGGTACATGTTCAGATTTTTTACATGGAAATACTGTGTAATGCTGAGGTTTGGGGTATGGATGATCCAATCAGCCAGGCAGTGAGCATAGTACCCAGTGCATAATTTTTAACCCTCTTCCTCCCTTCCCCTTCCCCGCTCTAGTAGTGCCCAGTGTCTGTTGTTCCCATCTTTATGTCCATGTGTATTCAGTTTAGCTCTCACTTAAAAGTGAGAACATGTGATGTTGGTTCTCTGTTTCTGTACTAATTCACATGGGATTATGGCTTCTAGCTCCACTCATGTTGCTGCAAAGGACGTAATTACATTCTTTTATATGGTTGTGTAGTATTCCATGGTGTATATGTACCAAATTTTCTTTATCCAATCCACCATTGATAGACACCTAGGTTGATTCCATGTCTTTGATATTGTGAATAAGACTGCATTGAACATATGAGTGCACGTGTTTTTTGGTAGGATGCTAATATTTGTTCTAACAGTAGCTAGTATTGAGACTTTGGACACGTTACTCTACCTTTCCAACCTTCAGTTTCTTCATGTGTTAAACAGAAATAATAATAGTACTCACCTCATAAGATTGTTGTGGGATTAAATATTATAATTATGTGAACACTTATCACAGTCACTAACACATTTTAAAAGCTCAAAAATGTTAGATATTGATAGCTGTTATTGTGAACAATCGCAGTCTTTCTCACAGTGCACCTGGATTTGGCCTCAAAATCCTTGTCAACATAATGCTCAGGGAAGCTATTACAAATCAATTGGTGGTGGTTTTCAAATTGAAACATGTCTACCAATTGCTAGGTTAGCTATCATATCCATGCCATTAAATAAATAATACTCAATGCCAGTAATTATTAGAGAAAGTTCTACTACGTATAATTCTGGCAGTAATATACGCTAATCTTTATATGCCCTCTATAGGGCTGTAATTTGACACTTCCTTGGATTAAGATACCAGTACAATGTTGCTACAAACATTGTTTTGTATTTGGCAAGATTGTTTACCTTTAAATAACAAGCTTGTGGTTAAGGATATCAAGTTTCAGTTAGGCGAAACAGGTTCAAGGCATCTCTTGTACAACATGACTGTAGTTAATAACGATGTATTATAGACTTAAAAATTGCTAATAGAGTAGATTTTAAGTTTTCTCACCTCCCCAGAAATGATAGATATGTGAGATAATGCATATGGTAATTAGTTTAATATAGCTATTTCACAAAATGTACATATTTTAAAACATCATGTCGAATACCTAAAATATATAGAATTTTTATGTCGATTAATAATATTATAAGAATATGATTCCACTTCCAGCAATGTGGCATACTAAATAACCTGAAAATCTTCCCTCTATCATACATTTAGAAATGTGAAATTATCTTATAATATATTCTCTGTGTGTGTGTGTGTGTGTGTGTGTGTGTATATATATAATTTAAAATATTTAGACATATGGTACTTAAATATACAGAAAATATACAATATTCTCTCTATATATATACTGAGAATATATTATGAGAATTATCAGAGAATATATTTAAGAGAATATATAAGAGAATTAAGAGCTCAATAAGAGTTCATAAAAGAATAAAGAAATGCCTACAAACCCCAAATGGAAAGGACACTCAAAAATAGTGCAAAATGGTGCCATTGTAGCTGTAGCTGCCCTGGAGGAAGTTGACTGGTCTCAGTAATCAAAGAAACATGAGTTTTAATGGCCTTGGGTTCACACAAAATAGGAAATTGTAATTCCCTAATGATTCTACCTAATGTCAGGAATCATTTTAGGGCCTCAACCTCAGTGAATACATAGACTATAAAATCTCCACTTGGGGGCCAGGAGCAATGGCTCACGCCTGTAACCTCAGCACTTTGGGAGGTTGAGGAAGGTAGGTTACCTGAGGTCAGGAGGATCACCTGAGGTCAGGAGTTCAGGATTAGCCTGACCAACATGGTGAAACCCCATCTCTACTAAAAATACAAAAATTAGCTGGAAGTGGTGGCGGACGCCTGTAATCCCAGTTACTTGGGAGGCTGAGGTAGGAGAATCGCTAGAATCCGGGAAGCGGAGGATGCAGTGAGCCGAGATCGCACCATTCCACTCCAACCTGGGGTACAGGGCAAGACTCCGTCAAAAAAAAAGGAAGAAAAGAAAAGAAAAGAAAAGAAAAGAAAAGAAAAGAAAAGAAAAGAGAAGAGAAGAAAAGAAAGAAAGAAAGAGAAAGAAAGAAATGAAAGAAAGAAAGAAAGAAAAAGAAAGAAAGAAAGAAAGAAAGAAAGAAAGAAAGAAAGAGAAAGAGAAAGAAAGAAAGAAAGAAAGAGAAAGAAAGAAAGAAAGAAAGAAAGAGAAAGAAAGAAAGAAAGAAAGAAAGAAAGAAAGAAAGAAAGAAAGAAAGAAAGAAAGAAAGAGAAAGAAAGAAAGAGAAAGAGCAAGCAACCAGGCAAGCAAGCAAGCTCCATTTATCATATAATAAAAAATACAACAAGGAAGTTTTCTGTTGTTGTTGTTGTTGTTTCACTCTTTGCCTAAGTTACAAATAAAAAGTGTTCTCTAAAAATTCGTAACAATAGGACATAGGCTGCGCCTGTGCATGCACAGGGCGAGGAGACCTTGGCTAAGCGGCGGAGGCGCCCAGTGGAGGTGAAAGCATTGGCGGAAGGAAAGCACAGCGGTAAAAATGCAGAGCTGGAGTCGTGTTCCCTTCTCGCTTGGGAACTCCCGTCTCGCCTCGGGTTGCAATGGACCCCAACTGCTCCTGAGCCGCTGGTTTCTCCTGTGCCTGCGCCGGCTCCTGCAAGTGGAAAGAGTGCAAATGCACCTCCTGCAAGAAGAGCTGTTGCTCCTGCTGCCTTGTGGGCTGTGCCAAGTGTGCCCAGGTCTACATCTGCAAAGGGGCTTTGGAGAAGTGCAGCAGTTGCACCTGATGTCGGTTCAGCCCTGCTCCCAAGTATAAATAGAGTGACCCGTAAAATCCAGGAATTTTGGTTTTTGATACCACCTTAAACCATTTGCTACGTTCCTTTTTCTGTGAAATATGTGAGTAATAATTAAACACTTAGACTTGAAAAAAAAAATCATAACAATAGGCCTGCCTTCACCTGGTTAGGGAACCTGAATTTAGATTATCTGCAGTGTACTGCCAATAAATTAGAATAAAAATGTCTTTAGTCTGGTCGCAGCCCTTCATTGTTTCACAGAAACAATGTACACCTCAATGAAACAACATGTTCTCAGCTAGGGAAAAGGATTCCTTAAAGACTAGTACTTCTCAACATATGTTCAGGGACCATGAACATCAGCATCACCTGGAACTTGTTACAAATGTCCATTCTTGAGCCTCAACCAAGACCTACTAAATCAGAAGCCTAACCCTAACCCTAAGGAAATGTTGACATTTAACAATCTGTGTTTCAATAAGTCCTTCAGATGATTCTAATTCAAGCTGAAGTTTGATAACCACTTTTCTAGATAAAGCCCTACTGAAGATGAACCTACGATTCTAAGTCACAAAGCTTTCTAGAAAACTACATATCATAAGCAACTAAACTTCATCTGACCTGTAACAGAGTTTGGGACAAACTTCACAATGTTGCACTGCATGGGTTAAGAAATAAGGGTTACAAAGAACACTTGTATAAAGTAAGGAAACCTACATATACAAGAGAAGAAAAGGTGTGAGACCCCTTTATTCTGGCATCACCAAGAAAGATTTGCCAAGATCTGAAGGATGTTATTCCATAGTGTGGATCTATGACCCTGTAAAAGAAGATCACCCTCCTGTAATTCTACTGATTTTTAGGGCCAATGTGAGGAATCAATCTTGTTAATTGATTGCCACATAGATCGGTAGACATTAAGCTGTCTAGATTTCATGGGCCATATGTATAGAAAAATTGTATTGTGATACTAGCCACAAAGAATCTGGAAAACTTGGTGTACATGAGTACTTGTTTGGTAGAGGAAAACATGGGTCTAATAACAAACTGAATGGATGCAAACTCCCTTGCTGGTAAAAGGGAGAGCCTCCGGTTCCAGTGTGATCTTTGTCAAGTCAACTCAAAGTGAATTCCCAGGGCCATTTTCAGACAATCTTGTTCATTGCATCACAACCACTAAAGACAAAATTAATAATCTTGGAGATAAATCTAAGAAAGGTATTCATAGTACAGCACAGAGAAATGAAGGGAAAATATGAGAGATTCAGATACATAGAAAACTGAATTAAAAGGTTCAACATACATGAATTTTGAATTACAGAGAAGAGAATACATAAAATAGAAAAGTGACAACAGTCAAAGAAAAGGAAGGCTTATATTTTACCCTGAATTATGAAAGACACAAATAATCAGAAGCAAAAATCAGAGTTAAAACTGCAATGATAAATAAAACTAAATCCAAAGCTATACATATCAGGGTTAAACTGCACACTCAATATTAAAAAATCTTAAAATCAATAAGAGAGAAAAGGCATATTACCTACAAATAAAAAATAAACAGGAAACATCGCAGTAGTAATAGACATTAGAAGTGCATAAAACATCCTCAGTTTTGAAAGAAAACTACTTAGAATTTTATATCTAGACAAATTATTTTTCAACAGTGATACCAATAAGTAACTATATAATAAAATTCAAAACAACTTAGTTGATGGTATAAGATCAAAGAATAGTGAAGTACTGGAAAATATGGTAAAATGGTAAGTGGTGGTTGAAGTTACAGCATTTTAATGTACTTATTCAGAAGGAGAATAAAAAAAGATATTGATTGACTTCACATATTGATTGACTTTAAACATAGAGAGTCAAGTAGGTATGCACATTTTAAAGGGAAATCACAAAACTAATAGAAATAGACTATCTTTCCACACAGTAGAGGGAAAATAAGAAAATATAAGGTAGAACAGGAGGAAAAAGAATGTATAGAAAAAGGAGGATAAGTAGAAAACACATGGTAAGATAGTAGAAATAAATATATTCATATTTGTCATCACCACACATATAAATGGACTAAACTCACTAATTAAAAGGTAAGTATTGATGGATTGGGCAGACAAACAAATTTATTTATAAATTATTCATGAGAGATACATCTAAAATACAAGTACATGCAAAGATTCAATGTGAAGAGATGGAAATGGACATGCAGGCAAATATACAAAAGAAGGCTGATAAGACTATCTTAATATTAGATAAAGCAAATTGTAAGGCAAAAAAAAAAACAACAACAACACTAGGAGTAAAGAGGGTCAATGCACAATGATAAAGTGAACAATTTAGCAAGACTATAGCAGTTTTAAAAGTTGAATGCATTTAATAGCATAGCCTGAAAATATTCAAAACAAAATTGAAATAATTATAAGAATTTGACAGTTCATAATCATAGTGGAGTATTTTCACACTTCTTTCTCAAGGACACATATTAAAGTATCTCTATGATATTCCATTAGTTTTTCTTATTTCATTCTATTAGCATGATAAATTTTTAAGGTTTAACAGAAAGAAAATTTAACTAAATGATACAGGAAGTTACTTCAGTATGATAAGATTGTGGTTTATTACTATTCTCCTTCATTTTAGGATTGTTCCAATATACTATAATTCATACATATTATTTATATAAGTAAAATAAACTATTAAAATTTTACCTTAAAAATAAACAAAAAGTAAAAATAATTATTTCTCTAGCATATAGCATAATGCTTAGCACAGATTAGGCTTTCATTTAGAAATGGTTGAACTACACTCAAGATCATTTGAAAGACACTGTGGCAATATGTAGTAGAAAGAACACTCTTCTAGGAGACTTGGGTTTAGTAGAGCTCTGCCATTTACTATCTATATAGTCTTCAGAAATTCACAGTATATTTGCCTTACTTTAAAATGTATAGAATAAATTCTTTGCTGACAACCTCAAAAAACTATGATACTTAAATGAAATAATGTATGTAAACATGTTCTGGAAACAATAAAATTCAAAGAAATGCAGCCTACCGTTAAAAGTACACCCAGCTGAATAGGAGTTAGTTCATCAGTTGTCATCACCCCCACTTTTATGCAGTAAAACCCTGGCCATGAAAACTGCTGTATTTCGACAGAGAAACCAGGTACAATACACAGTGTCGAGGAGTAACAAGCCATGGTGAGTACCATTATAGGTGGTTACTATAGTTTAGATGTTTGCTCCAAAAAGCTCATGTTGAAATTTAATTTCAATATTGGAGTTGCGGACTAATGGGAAGTGTTTGAATCATGGAGGCAGATGCCTCATGTATAGATTAATTCCCTCCTTGGCAGAGGTGGGGAGTGGGTGGGCAGGTGGGTGATTGAGTTCTTACTCTTCCCAGTTCCCAAGACTGTTGGTTGTTGAAAAGAGTTTGGCACCTTTCTCCCCTCTGTCTTGCTTCTGCTGTCACCATGTGATCTCTGTAAATTCCAGCTCATCTTTGCCTTCTGTCTTGAGTGGAAGCAGCTGGATGTCCTCACCTGATGCCCAATTTTGAATCTTCCGGGCAGCAGAACTGAGCTGAATAAATCTCTTTGCTTTTTAAATTAGCCAGCTTCAGGTGTTCATTTACAGCAACACTAAACTAGCAAAGACAGTGACTCATGTAGAAATGACAGTAAGGCAGGCATTGTTCTGATTTACTCAGCTCTATCCAGGTGGTCTTGTTGCATCAGCAATGCAACAAATAGGGTTTCTGCAGAATTTTTCCCGCAGTATCAAGTAGAGCATTTTGCTGGGAACTGAGCCCACTGTGCAGCTTTATCAAATAACATGATTTCAGTGACACTGGGAGGACAGTAGTAGTAATATTAACAAAGGTAAATTCTAATACAGTATTTGCTATGTGCTTCTCACCCTTCACAGAATACATCTGAATAAAATAAGAGTATTCCCCTTTCTGTTTTGAGTAGTGAATTTGGCTAAGCAAGCAGAGTTCCTCTGTGGGGTAGGGGGATAATGAGCAGAAATGGGAGGACAAGTAGGCTGAACTTAGATCTGAAGCTCAAAAACTGTATGCCATGGAATGCTGACACTCAAGGGGTTGCATCCTCATCTTTTCTGATTTTGGGAAGGAGGTTGGAGGCAGTGGAACACTATCTGCCATCTTTTGAAGTAAACACAACACCATCACCACTATCACTATCACCTCCAATCCTACTAGTTCTGCTTGCAAAAACCATAAGCTCATGTCAAGACCTAATTTCCCAAATAGTGTCCCCTTTTGATCATTGCACATTTTGTTGGCTTCTTTGACTTACTGGAAGACTGTTTTCTCAATCTAAATCTTTTCTAATACTACCTAAAGTGTTTGCTGAAGCCAAGAAATTCCAAATATAGTTTACATCAATCTAATTGGCTTAAAGATTTCTATCTGTGGTCTTGTTTCAATTTTATGACTAAACTTTAAACTGGTTTCTTAGAACTTTCAGGTGATCCTACTACAATTCTTAGTCTATCTTCGTCCTCTTTTCCCCTGATTCGAACAACTATTTCGCACCTTTGCAAGCATCTAATATTGTCTCCCCTTTCCTCACTCTCAACTGATTAACATGATTATTTCATGGAGGAAATACAGGCTATCTTAAGAGACCTACTGCAAATCCTAACACCACATTTACCCATCTAACTAAATCTGTACCCGCATAATCTGCTTTACTCCAATTATGGATTTTGTTCCTGCAAATAACTTTTCTCTCCTACGACTTCAATTTATTCCTATACACTAGGTCCTCAACCTACAAAGATGCTGAAATAGCTCACATCTTAAACAATATCATCATCAACAAATTCCCTAAACCCCAAATTTCATATAGGTTACCACTTCTTCACTTCTTATCTGTGATAACTTTCGTAGCAACCCCCACCTTTAAAAGTGTTGTCTCCACATAATTCTCATTAGTTTTCCACATCTCACTGTTTTCCAAATACAATATAGTTAAGTTTTGTTCTCAGGACTTCACTGAAACCACATATTGTGATCCCCAGTGACCTCCACAGTTTTTTAAAACCTAGGGTCCATTCTCATCCTAATTTTATTTGTTTTTTCAGCAGCATTTGACACAATATATCA